AGTAGGTCCCGAAACGAACGTTTATGTAGGTATTGCTCGAGCACGCACGTGCAAACGGACAACGATCATTATGATCGATGGTCGTCCATGTGTATTGGGGTCAATTTTCGCGACTTATATTAGTTTATAAGTTACTTTTTAGTTTGCGATTAGAAAGATCGAGCTAGATGTAAGTTTCAGCGGGCATTGCGCTCGAAGAAAAGAAGAGGCCCGGCAAACTGCCACGAAGAGGGTCACAACAAATGGCTTCTCATCCTCTGGATCATTTAAATGATTTCAGAGCATGGGAGGTCATTCTACTTTGTCACTATGCTCTTTTAATATTTGTAGTTGTATTTTCTTCTCCATCATCGTTCATCATCGTTTTGGGCAAATCGCGGTTTTTCTTGTTAGTATTGCGAGAAATTAATTACAATTTAAATTAGAGTTCCGAAGAAATGATAATCGTGTTTGCTTTAGAGTTGCGAATTGTACTGTGTTTTTTGCAATTTTATTGTCAATTTTCATTGTCTTAGTGTTATGTAAATTTATCTTGCTTTTTGTTGTTTTAAATTAAATTATAGAGTCATTTGTTTCAATTAATTTTAGAGTGTGAAAGTGTTTGAAGTAGCTTTTTGTTTGTACAGTTCTGTATTGTTCATAATAATTTTCATTGAATTTAATTTTAGAGTTAGTCTGTTATTACGTTATTATGTTATTTAGAATTAGTGACATTATTTCATCGCGATTTCCAATTACTTTTACTCTTAGTGTTGCAATATTGTTCCATCGTGATCAATTTTGCTTTTATTGTTAGTATTGCGGTAATGAATGATCGCGTTTCTTGAAGTAACGTTTAATAATTGTGCAGTAGCCCTTCTGTTTATTGTATTGTTGAGTAGAAAATACTTGTTTTTTAATAGCCCTTTTGGTTACTGTATCACGGTTTTTTTCAGTGGCCCTTGGTCCTTCTAACTATTGTTTTCTTTGTCAGTAGTCCTTCTGGTTACTGCATTAAGTTTTTCAGCATTTCTTACTGCTCTGTTTGTTACAGAAAATACTGCTAAAAAATATATATTTTTTTTTTATTAGCCGTAACTTTGTTTTAGAATGTAGAATTTTATTATAAATTTAATATGTTTACATATGTGAAATTACAAATGATTTCAAGTGTCATATATGTAAAATAAAGTAAGAAAAATATTGCAACAAAGTATTTAAATATTACAATGAAAATTTGAAATTCTTTTTACAAAATAATTAAATCGGTAGTACTGTGTAGAGTACTAGCTTATTTTGAATTAATATCCAGTGTATTGTTATTGGAGCCAATAATAATTATTGTTTTTATCATTTTCTCTTCTTTTCTCTATTCTAAATGTTTCAACAATAAAGTAGAATTTTAGTAGCTCAAATCAAACTATTTACGAATGACGTTTATCTCTAACAAAAATCTTGCACGTATTTTGTCCAATTTCTATTTTTCGTGTTATATAACGAAATAAATAATAAGTTAGAAAGACAAATCATGTAATTTTAGTCGAATTTTCTTTCATCTTTAAGGTAAATTTTCAATTTCTGATTTATTCAGTCAAATTTCCATCAAAATCCCATCACTAGAGATTCTTTCTTTCTATTTTCATAATTTTGAGTGAAAAAATGATTTAATAAAAATGATAATAAGTTAATGATGTATAATTATGAATATTTTGATAACAACCTAACTTTTTTTGTGTGTAATATGATATTTCATTGTAGATCTTTTTATTTTATCTTTTTATTTAAATTATAATATACTAATCCAATACATAAATTTGTTTCAGATTTATTAATTTACAGAGAGTTTTGTTTCAGAAAGCATATAGAAATATGTACACTGAAAGTTTAAAAGATGGAATATGAATTAAAGTGACTAACAGGAAAAAACTATTTTAATAAAATGATGTTTCATCCAATTGCAAGTAATTATATTTTACAGATTTTATTAATCGGTATTAATTCAGTTTTTTAGATTTGTTTCAGGTACAGATTATGGAATGAACAGAAGATTTTGTGATACACAGTAGGACGAGAAATTATCAAAAGAAGACTTCATATAACTTCATATAATTCCACTTAATTTCTTTTGAGTTATATTTATATATTTATATAAATAAAATGAATAAAAATTACTTTTTGTAAAGATGTTAGACTACAAAATTTGGCTACAGATAATTTTAAATTGGGTGTTGTTTTGTGCTGTGTTATGTTGTGGTAATTTTAAGTTGCTTGTTAGATTTAAGCTTAAGTATAGTAATTCTTGATATGTAAGGCGTATTAGTATCTAAATGTATGGTTAAGGATAGTTAATATTAGTAGGGTAGTTAATATAAAGATAATATTAATTTAAATGGGATAAGTAGAATTCCATATGAGATACATATTATTTATGTAAGCTTTATAACTATTCTTATATAGTCTGAAACTGCGTCTCATATAGATTTACGTATGTAGTCAGTTTAAGCTATAACATAATTTCTATTTTCATGGAAATTTAGCTTTCCGCTTTTCCTTACCTTACAGTTTCTTTTATTGTTTGATTTGCACAACGATCAAGATGTTGAGCGTTTTGCAAATATACAATAAAAGAAGTATTTATTCATAAATTCATGTTTTAAATTAGTTTCATTTTTTATTTTAAATTTGGATATATGTGTTCAAGTACAAAAAAACTTTCGCTTTCAACAATACTGTAGTACGTATTTTATTTTGTGATATTACATTCATTTTAATTGAAATTAAGAATAGAAAATGGTTAAAGAATATATTTTGGTAGGGGAAAAGTAAAAATTATCATATTTGAATTATTTGCATTAATTTCGTCCCATTTATCTAACATTTTATTCTCTGAGATTTCTCTCCATTTATCTGTATGTACAGAAGAGATTCCACCTGACCAAGCCTAAAAATGTTTTAAAATTTTATTGTTTTGTACGTAAAGTATAAAGAAGATAGGCGATAAAAAAAAAGACATAAAGAAGATAGGTGATTGATTTCTACATAGAATATTTTTACTTTGATAAGAACCTTTTCACAATGTAGTGCCCACGTGTAAATCATTTTGTTCTCCATCTTTTGACATACTCTCTGTAATTTTTTTAAAAGTTTCATTGCCACATTTACTTGTGATCTTATCATCCAGTAATATGCTTTCAGCAACATGTATCTGTAATAATACCAAATATTTCTTTTAGATATCAGAATTCAATCATTTAGAATTGTATCTATAAATACTAAAGTATACCTAGGAATTGCAATTTCAACAATCTTGCTCATTTTCTTTGCATTTTTCAATATACTTTTAATCTCCATCATTGTGACAGCTGCATCAGCATTTCTACTATTTAATTTATGCACTGTACATATGAAACTTTGATAAATTATCATGGAATTTTGTTTTGAGTTAAAATAGAAAGACCGAAGATAGACGAAAATAGAAGAATGTATACCATAAAGAATAAGTAGACCTTCAAGCTTCTTTAACGAAGTAATTGTTGCTGCTACTATATGTTCATCCGTTATATTAGTGCTCTCAACCTTTCTACCGCTCCATACTTTTGCAGCTTCCCATTCTTCAGTTCTGATACACCTATTATAGATTATTGTGTTTATGTGACAATAACGGTTAATCACATATCTTTATCAGTTTCCAAATTAAAAAATTAAAACGAAAATTTCACTATATACCACAGCCACATAGATGTAAAATATCGTCTTTCCGCTTCTGGATCATGTAAACTGATCATTTGTTCGCCTTCCTGAAGGAAATATTGTTCGCAGGCTTGAAACGAGAGTATCGTTAATCCAGTATCTAAATGAACGTCAGCGCAAAGCGCATAATACCAAGTACGTCCAGATTTGTCGAAATGTTGATGAGATACAAACTCTGCAGTTGTATAAGACATTTTATAAAGAGTATCGTCAATTAAAATTAGATAGTTTATTACCCAATTCCCTTAATTGAGTAACCACTTCTGAATGTCGGCAAGAGATCATTAGCAAGTGAGCTAATCGTGGTAGTATCAGCAGCTTTAAAAACGTGGATCCGATTGTATTGGCCATTCTGCAACAAATGAAACCAATCTGGATAGCTTTCGAGATCTGTCCCTTTAGCCAGCGAGAAAAGAATATTCCTGCGTAAAATTGAGCGATCACATTCAATTCTTGCGATTCAAGTGCTTCTTTGTTTTCGTTGCAAATATCGATACCCCTCTGTTCCAGGTAAGGAATGAAGTATCTGTAAAATTATATTATAGTTGTGTCACAATATCGAATGTTTGATCATAATCTGAAAGTTCTTACCTCTCTTGATACATGTGTGCTGTGATTATGATGTTGGTGTATGCTGTGCAGAGAACATGCAAATCTTTCTTAGAATCTAAAGCTGCGTTTAAACCCCAAATTGCTGCTAAACGAGCGTGTTTCTTCATCCCTTTAAACTGTATGAAAGAGTGTGAATGTTCTACGTTCAAATAATTCCAATTCCAGTTAATTTACCCTGAAGAGTTCGAACATTTGTGCCAAGCATTCTGATAATTGTTTTTTATAATCCACGTCATCCCCTTCGAGACTGGTTTCAAGTTCTGTATCATTGAAACAAATCAATTTTAATTTCAAGTTCACTAATTGCGCGATCGAATTCAGATCAATCATCATTTCTAGCTTTGGAAATTTGTATCCTAAGCTGTTCAATGCCATTTCAAGTGTTTCTTCAGCTTCAAAAATTGAGCCGCTTTCGAGAAAACATTGCCCCTGAAGGGTTTGTATCTTCGCAGTGAGATAAGGCAAAAGAACAATTTCGTCTTCGTCCGACTCGAATAGCTTCAAGTATCAGACATGTTAGATCAAATGAATATTCAACTTTTAGAAAAAAAAATTTTTTCTATACCTTTTTTACAACAGTTTCGCTCTCGGATAGAAGCTTTCGAGCTTGCGGTATGTTACAAGTAAGCAAGCAAATCTCTGCAAACTCTAGAAGAGCAGTTAGCGTCATTTCAATTTTTCCTGAAATATTAAATTCAGATTTGAATTATGTTACGTTAAATTATAATTGCTAATTCGGCGAATTAATTAATTAATTAATTAATCGAGGAAAATATTTACCAATACCACGACAGTGATCGAGTATTTGAATATAGACTGTCATCAATATTAGATCGCACAGGCAGTTTGAAAAATCCACGTTTGAAAATGTCAGCGTCGGCTTCTTCTCGACACTTCGAAATAAATTCAGGCAAGAAACTTTCAATTTACTTTTCCTCTTTTTCTCAGTGACACCTACATCCTTATATTCCACGTCGAGAATTTCTTCTATGTCTATTCGTTTTCTCTTTGGCTTTTCTTCCTTTGACACTTTCTCCTTATTTTCATTTATGTCTGTCAGTTTTTTCTTTCTTTCTTCTTTCTTCGACACTCTTCCCAATAATTTGGCAAATTGACCTTCCCCGCAAGAAACGCAACGTCTTGTATACTGTTGCAAATATTTCAATGCCTGGTTGTGCAATTCTATCTTCTGATTTTCCGTAAGCAATCTTCATGGACATATTTTTGAATGCAGTTATAATTTTACTTTTGTTCTTTTGGAACTAAAGAACTCTCGAGTAGTATCGTTGAGCTATATATGACTTAAGTAATTACAAAAGTTCAGGATTTAATTTTATTTTGTATTTTAAATTCTTAAGCGAACGTTCGATTTTAGTTTAATTATTGGAGTTCACTTCAAATTACAGTAAATTGATAAATGAAAATAAAATTTCCCACTATTAGAAATATCGCGAAATATTAAAGAATTATATAAATCTTCAAATAATTTTACTTTAAAATTGGTTTACTTAAAGGTTAAAAATGCTAAAGTTAACTTGTAATTAATTTATTTATAATTATTAATTATACCCTAATGATACCACTTAAGAATTAATATTTGTACAGTTTTAATTAATTAAAAACAGTACTGATAAGTGGTGTCACGAAACATGGACATCTTAAATCTCATAAAGCCACAGGAAGCATATTTTGGTAGGTCTGCCAGCTCATCTAAGAAAATATACCTTTTCGGTAGTTTAAACCAACTATATGCGTGTTCGATTAATATATATTTCCTTTGTCAATTAATACCTGGAATATGGAGGCCAATACACTTGCAGAAGAGGTCCATTTCTGAAGTGTGATTTTGAATGTTTCTGATAAGTATTATAGGGCCTGTATTTTTGGTGAAGTCCCCGACTGCACAGCCAAAGACTCGTATTTCAAAGAGTTTCGTAACAGCTGACAAATTGCACAGCTCTAAGTAGTCAGTTAGACATTATCGCATCATAAATAATAGGCGTGTTTTACCAAGTGCGATTTCTCTTTTAGAGGTGCCGGACATTAAACTTTCTAGCATGTGTCTGTTTACTGTTTCTCCGATGACAGAAGCACATTTCAAGAGAAGCTGATCAAGTGGTGTCAGCGAATCGAATAGCTTCAATATCATAACTTTAACGTAACGAGATATTTTTGTTATTTATCAGTATAGTAGATGAATTATTACTGCTAATAAATGAATTATTATTATTTTTTAACCATCCATTGTAATTTCGGGTTCCATGTCCTCGAATACGAAACTCTCGGAAATGTTACAAACCGCGATCATGGTCTCTTCGTTGTTGATCAAGTGTGGTTTGCTTATACTTTTCTCTAATAATGATATTGCACTGTCCTGAAACAAAATTGTTGTCATTCTTTTTAATGTAAACGATGTTATTCATCTTCGACCAAAAAAGGAAGAAACGTACTTTGAAGCTTGTTCTGTACATCTGCCACCTGTCTTTTCGATTATCGTGATTAAATGCGTTTCCATTCGTTAGGTTTGCAGTATATCTGATTTTAAATTCCGTAGAATTAGTACTTGTCTATTACGTTTGTTTGTATAAATATGCTTTTTTGTTCAGTAAACCTTTTTAACATATATGTAGGAGGGAGCACATAGCCCTTTATTCTTGCTTCCTTTTTCGTTATATGTATTATTTCTAAAACACCGATTTGGAGAAGGCTCACTAAATAACTCTCGATCCAGCCAGGATTTCCGAAGCTTTTCTCTTGTATTCGTCTTCAAACATATTGATGTCAAATCAAAGATAGAATTTTGTGAAGTATTCAGGCAATTTGCAAGTTTATTCTATTTACTTTTCAAGTTCCGCAGGTAGACCTTTCACGTTAAGTATCTGACATGCTAAGCCAGCGTGATACCATTTGTCTATTCCGATCAACTCAATTATCTTTTTAAAGAACAATTCAAATTTTTATTGCTACTCGATTAGTGTTATAACAAGTATATCAGGGGTTGAAAAAGTTGTGAAACTTTTTAATAAGTTCTATTAAAAATATGGAACGTGGAACTTTTTTAAGAAATGTTTTTACATTATAAATTCTAATGGGAATAGATAAAGCAGAGTTTTTGAAAATATACAATATAAAAATAAAAATTTTCCTATAATTTGAATTTTTCAGCAATATGATATATATGGTTAAATAAAATTAATGCCTAACAATTTGCAAAGTTTATTTACCTCATGGAATCTTTTTTGATAAATGTTGTTTGATGAAACTTTTATATTTGAAATATTTATATCATGTATTTTTTAAAGAAGTTCCTCAAAGTTTCATTTCTTTCCGTAAAAATACCACAGGAACAGATATTTTCTAATCGTACAAAACAAACAAAAAATAGGCGACTGTTTATTTTGAAGAGAATAAATCAGTACCTTTCCTCTATGCAAAAGATTGAAATATACTGGGAAATCCGTCCTCAATTTTCGACCAATGCTCAATACAAAAAATATCTTATCCTTCTTCGTAAAAACATCAAAAATGTCCAAGGACTCCGGATCGCAGTATTCTGCATCGTCAATTATGACCACCCACAATTCTTGAAAGCAGTTTTTCATCAATTTCAGTAGGAACTTTCTTAAAAGCTTTTGTTTCTCCGCATCAGTTAGTACATTATAATGTTGTGTGATAGAGAAATGCACGTTGAAGAGTTGATTAAAAATACACAAAAAGTACGGATGCTTCAGCTTGCCCAGTCGTAAAAGCAATTTGTCTTCGCGTTCTTTTCGTGTGGACGTGTGAGTGAAACCAAGAGGCATTGAAAATAATAAATATATCAGGTTGTACGGGGTCTGTACTAAGAGATAAATCAAGAGTTTCTTTGATTAAAAGTTTAAAAAACAAAAGTGTAAAATTAAAGGCATTAACACTTCAATGAATGAAGCATATCGTGTTTTTGGCGTTTTGATTATTTAAATTATTATCCACATTAAATGAAAAGTTGAAAAGTCAATTGAGTGTAAATCCAATTTCTCATTGGAAACAATTTATATATATATATCGTGCAATAATAATCATCTACGAATCACTTTTTTCGCGTTAGAAATGCACCATCAATAAAGTGTTAATATTAGTAACTATTCATTAAATTCTAAAATTTCATAATAATTGAAAAGTATAAAGTGTCAACCTCATTGTGCTCCGCTTGTAAAGAGATATAATTACAGTGCGTTCCTACTGGAATGTTTTGCGTAAATTCATCTAATAACCTCGTTTTCCCTACCCGTGGTTCGCCTCTTTGAAGAAGACCGTGGTTGAAAAATATACGTCACTAGAGAAAATGTAATAATAACAAAAATGGAATAATAATAAAAATAGTTACTTTATAAGAAGTGTGTTATATTTTGGTCGAGAACTACGACTTTCCTTGCTTGCGTTGGAGTACTCTAATAATTTCATTAGCATCTTCTTAAAAATTTGAAGTTCGTTGTGTCGACCAAGCAGAGGATACTTAATCCAAACTAAGTTCGACACAGTATACCTAACGAATTAGACGTGAATTTATTAATTTTGTTTCCAAGATTTCGTCTTTACTCAAACAGAAAATGAACAGAAAGAGATATGAGTGATTTACACAACTTCGTTTTTCGAAGTTTTTTAAATTTTAATGTCAGAGCATTTGATTGACTCTTCACTTTTTATATTTAAAATAAATTTGCTTAATATCATCGGGCTTAATACCATGAAATAACAAAATTTTTCTTTTTACCGTAGAATAATGTATACTATTCTATCACTTTTCTTTACTTTTTGTTTTATGAAGTAAGAAATCATACTTTCCATACCTTTCGCGGACAATCTGGGTTTATATCGGCTGTCAAATTTCATTCTTGAATTCAATTCGAAGTGAACTTTTATTTTTCCTTATTATTCCTTTAATTTTATTCGAGTAAAGGGTTCACATACATAATTACTGCAGTATATTTTTTCCCGTTTATTTTTCATTTAAGTGAGGGCGAAACTTTTTAACCTTGTTAGAATATTGTTAGAATATTAGAATAGAATTACTTTGGTTGTTCCTGAAATTCATATATCGGTCCAACGTTCGTGATTCCCTTTAAATATCTTGGTTCTTGTAAAATGAAGTGCCTTGCCTCCAAGTGAGAATGAAGGAAACTCTCTCGATCACAGACCACCTAATAATTCTTCGTTTTTTTTTTTTCTCTTTCGTCTGTTAAAAATTAATGTCTGAAAATACGCTAATTCTCACCTTGTTCTTATAAGCTACCATAAGCCTCGCAGCCTTGTTCACTGACATTCCAATCACGGTGTACTCCCTTCGTAAGATATGACCTACAACTCCACAATATGTCATCCCCGTGGTCACGCCCACCGTTACGGATTTGATATTTTCAATCGCAGTGAGATTCGATCGTAACTTCGACGCGCATTTTAAACCGATTTGTGACTCCAGTTCATGCTTATCGCCACGTAAACCGAACACGCAGAGAAACATCAGATCTTTGTCGAAGAGGGACGTTTTGTTCACACATCCGTGCATTCCACCGACAATCCTTTCCCGAAAAATCGAAGGAAAATTGATCGATGAGATTAAATAAGTCGCGACTAGTGATGGGCATTCGAATTTCATCAAGAAATGATCTCAAATTTGGAAACTCAGAAAATTATCGAAAATTACGAAATACTAGGAATATATGGATCTGTAGAATGATCTGGTCCAATGGACAGTCTCGTAGAAAAAATTAATACGCCATTACGCTATCTTTGAAATTTATGTAGTAGTTTCAGTCCAAACCCACAAAAACTTTCTTCTTTCTCTGTTTCGTTCAATAGTTTTCCATTCGTTCCACAAGTTCAAATCCCATTACTTGGCAACTATAATTTGTATTTTGAGATGCGTTTTAACACTAGAACGACCGACGATTAAAGTCTACAATTTCTATCAAAGACATTAAAGTGAAAAAAAGGAAAAAATCTTTCATTCATCATTACGAAAAATCATTTAAATCTCTAAAAAATAAACTATTTTACATTTATAAAATTTCTAACAAAAATTATAAATTGGTCATTTTGATCACTTTGATAGTTCTAGTGTTAATAGTTCTATGATAAATTTGTTTTTATAATTACATTGCATGTATTGAATTTTTTGTTACATTTATATATTCAAAACGATCCGAATACTTCGACAGTTTATTGTTATACTGCAGATCTTTGTACATTTATAATGAAGAAATTCAATAATGCATAGACGCACATATTTAATATTCTAGAATATATCCAAATTATTATATTAACTACTATATATTATAATATTTAGTGGTTAATACAAATTCAAGTATAATTTTTTTAACTGTATTAAAAATTTCCATAGAAATTCGTTGTCATCGCTAGCCATCACCAGTTATGACACGACGAAACAGAAATAGACTTACTTGCACACTAGTTTATAAGCAGTGTTCACTAAGAAAATTAATGTTCGTTTGTCTACGTTCGAGGTGATTACATTGATAAAGAGTATCACCACTTGTCTCATTTCGGTCAGATATTCCAACGGTTCGTCCATTTCGACAGATCGAATGACTGGTCTCAGCATGTAACTTTTCAAAGCTCCTTTCAAACGAGCCTTTGCTATTTTTATAACTTTAGGTCGTACTAAAAATATCATATTTATTTAAACATCAAATTATTTAGAAAAAAAAAAATGACAGTCTTGCTTACAGCTGTAATCGACTTGCTTAAAATTTCCAATTTCGTAAGGCTTGCCAATTAGACTCATTATTACCGCTTCAGATTCACGATCGATCATCCTCGGTGTTGTCGGTGAATCATAAAAATTCGTGAAGTGTCCGTTCTCTTCATCTGTGCAAAATGTAAAACATACGTTACTTATACATAGCATTAATTAATATCAATCGAGTAATAATTTACGCGGTTAGAAAATATATTTTTCTACATTCTTCGTTGAATTTTTATATATAGAGTGTGCAGTTTAGTGTTCAAATTTTGCTCAGTCAATTCTATAGATGAAAATAAGACTAGAACATCATATAAAAGTGAACAAGACAATAAATAAAGTTCATTTTGTTATTATTATTATTATTTTTGAATTTTTATTATTATCCTTTTTTGTGAAAACATATGAAATAAATATTTTTATAACTTATACAATACTGGTCTTTCTCTTTAGTATTCTTTTTCGCATTGACAGATTCTATTTATGCGATTTTCTTTCATGTAAAAAAAGAAAAAATGTGTGGGATGAATAAATAAGTCATTTAAATCTAGAGATTATATTATATATTTTTGATTTAATAGAAATTTAGTGGAATAGAACGAGAGAATAGATCGCTAGAAATATTTTACTAGCTTTTTAGTTTTACTACCCTCTATGGCAACCATTAATTCCTCATCTTTAGCTTGGTACCACATACTCGTGCAAGTTATGATAAGAGTATGTATACCATCTGGAAGTGTTTCGTGGACGTATTCGTTTGGATTTACCCATTGCCAGCTACTAGGTGCCACTAGGATATCACCACCTCTGATAAAAATAAAAATGGTAATTATCGAATTTCTCGTTAACGCGAGGTTTCTCTGATTACCGGCAAAGGGCTTCGGCAAATTTCACATCCCACACCGGTTTTCCGGTGATAATATAGTGAGACATACTGTCTTGATCTCCAATAGATGTGAAGTATGTTTTTCCAGAAGCAATGGCCAATTTTACTATAAAAAGTGTTCAATAATATTTACTGGTTCAGTAGTACAAAATTCATACTATTTCTGAGTAGTATGAATTTCATTTTTCTCGTTTTATTAGTCTTGTTTTCCTCTTTGAAGGATTACTGTGAAATAATTTTCTCAAAGCAACTATCGTGCAATAAAAACTATTACGTTAAAATGCTTGAAAATTCGAAATTTAATTGTTTATTTATTACGATGATATTGAAACGATATTATTACTAGTTAATTATTATTAATAACGAGGCATGATATTATTAATATTCATACGAAGTTAATAATACTAATTTTGCTAATTGTAATACAAAATTTCAGTGAACAAACCTTTCAAAGTCACTCCAACTTCAGTATCGTAAGATCCAAAGTGTTTTTGAATGACACATGCAGTTTGCATTGCTTCTATAGCTAAGTCCCGCATTATCATTCCTTCGTGGAGCTTCCACATCACGATAAACGCATCACCAGAAAATTTCAATACGTCACCGTTGTGGGAAAGTATTTCCTGTACCATAGCGCCGATGTAACTGTTCAATGTTTCTGTCAGTTTCGATGGTCCGCCTTTTCCTTTAGTGAATTTCTCGGCCAGTTCTGTGAAACCTTTACACGTAAATCGGGAATATTCATGTTATTGTTAGATTATGCATTTGTAAAAAAAGGAAAGGATTTTTATGCATTTATACAAAATTTTTCGTAGTGTGTGAAATTTTTATATTCACATATTTCTGCGGATATATTTTTTTTTCACTTGGAATAGAATTGTCATAGTGTTATATCGTTATTACCTGATATATCGCCAAGCATTAAAGTGGTGTAATACATTCTGGTCTCATAATCGTTATAATGATCTAGAATTTCATCCGGACACATCGAGGCAAATATTTTCGTGTGATGCTCGATTCTCAGTTCCGCGGCTCGTGTCTCGTTCTCTGAATAGTCCATGAATTTCTGCTTTTGTACGACTGTTGCATAATTATTTTTTACGATTTGTTACAATAATTATTCGATTCTTTTGAGTTTAGATTACATCAACATTTACCATCTCCATTTATTTTTTTACGACTTAGCCTTCGTGCAGCTCTAGCAGTACTTTGAACGTCCATATTTTATTCCTATAAAAGTCTACTTCGGTTTAACTTATCATTTATAGGTTTGATTTATTAGAGAAAATAGTGTCATCCTGAGCGATCTTCTTTTATGTGAGGAAGCACTGGACAACTTCAGTGTAATTTATATTACGCTATCAATTACCATTTAATTTTTTAATCTTAATATGGTTGTCATTTAATATGGTCAATTTTTTCATGATCGTTTCTAATTATTTATATTAATTAAAAGGCAAACAGTTAGAGCAAACATTGTTAAGCATTTATTAATTAATTTAATTATAATGTCAGAAACTTATATGAATCTGAATTTTAATATTTTAAATAAATTTCTAATATTATATTTTAATGTAAATTTAATATATTAAAATTCGAATATTAATTTGATAAAATTTTTTTAAATGTGTAAATACATATAAACGAGTGAAATTACAAATTGTAGACATACGAATAAAATTTCAAAAGATTTAACCTGTGAAATTTTCTCATTTTTATTTAATGACAACATCATAATGATGATTAATTTGTTTTATCAATTTTTTGAAGATTTTGATAATAAAAGGATATTTAGGCACATTATATAGTTTACTTATTAAAATACAGATTATTTTTAACGAGAATTCATCTAGTTGATGAAATACTTTCAACAATCGGATAATTAAACATTGTGATAATTTTTGTCAATAAAGGATTTAAAAAATTTTTAAAAGAAATCATCAGAAATTACAGAAATAATTCATATTAATTGTAAGTTAAATTTGTAAAAACTCAATTGTCAAAGAAGCTGCTATATCATAATATAGTTATATAAGGATTTGTTGCTCCAGGTTCGAAAAAATATGATACTATTTTACGTTCTTTCGTAAGTGTATTTATTTAATTCAATGCCAGGTCTATAATCAAAGTATCGGAGAAGAGGGTCAGCGTTTAACAATGAATACACTTCTCGTGACAATAGACAATATGTGTTTATTTAATAGTCTCGCTATATAGATACTTAATATGACTTGTCGTTCTAACAGATCGCTGCCTACAACGTGACGGCCGAATTTTATTGTGCCTGGCCCTACTAGTTCCTTATTGTGCTTGAATCTATGATGGGTCGACGTCATCTTTGGTTTACTTAATCACTTTTCTCTCTCTCTCTCTCTCTCTCTCTTTCTTCCTCTCTCGTTCACTCTCTCTCACTTTCTCTCTCTTTCTCTCTGTTCCGTTTATTCCTCACACCGTCGTCTGCCAACTGACAAATTGGATAATACTCGCTATTTCTTCAAGACGTCGCGACACACGAAATCGAGTCTCGCAAATGTAGGAATTCGTTCTTGCGTGGGTCTCTAAGAAATTAATGACTTCTTCCCTATATTGATCCGTTCTCTTTCTTTTTTTCTCCTCGCATTCTTTTTTTTTTTTTTTTTTATCTTTTATCTGTTTTCACGCAACACATCAATGTCTAGAACGTGATCGATGAACACATTAGTCTTACGTTGTGTATGTGACGCGTAGTTCTCTCCTGTTAATCATTTTTACAAGTGATTTACGCACACGTAAAACGAGACAGCGATATTGTTACATGTATATAGTTTTGTAAACGACCGCCATTAACTGGCAACCACACCGTTTAGGTACTCGTGGAAAGATAAAGAAAGAGAGAAAATTAATAAATATGTACACGTTTCTTCGCGATCGATATGTCGACGAGATCGTCCGGTTATTGAGATACCAAAATGGCAATGTTAAAAAACTTTTTTTATCAGATGCATGTACGTGTGTAGTTACCAGTTACACGTCGTTTCCCCTAATAATAACGCAAGAATCATTGAAAAAATGAACGCTGCAACAATCGCAAAAAGGTTCTCTTAGTCGAGTTTCCCACGATGTGCTATGTTTGTTTTTATGCGTGACACTGCTCGGAACGTTAGTCGAGGAATCTCGATTTAATCGAGTGTCGCGATATTTATCTCACGTTGCGAATGCGTTACATTGATTAAACGCGCATGCGATTAATTGTACATCGACGGCGGATACATTTAAAAAAAAAAAAAATGTCTTTTTTTATTTTTGTTCTTTACGTTTCCTTGAGTGCAGGAACGAAAAATCCTCGTAAATTCGTACGCTATTTGCCCGTTATTTTCTTTTTCTTTTCTTTTATATATATGTATATATATATATTTTTTTTTTTTTTTTTAATTGAAAAAATCTTCTTCGTCTGCGACAGAGACTCGGGAGGTCTTTTCGATGGAAACATCGTATACGTGCCCACTCGCGGTAACATACATATGTATACATTAAATTGTCATATTTTTATATGGTGCTTCGGTTTTTCGGCTCGCATGGGCAAATATACGCGGCTCCTTCGAAATTAGCTTATGCAAAAGTGTTCCGAAAAAGTGTTCTTCTTCTTTCTCACACTGTTCAAGAAATTCATCGAATTTTTATTTCTACGAAATATACTAATCGCGAATTGTTTAAATTGCGTTCGAGGCGTGAGTGTATATACAGGAGGATTTCTCCTGTACTGTTTGTTACTTTTGTTTTTTTCTTTTCTTAACTTTACGTTATTCAGTGTGTTCGTAGCGTTTTAAAAAGCGCGGAAATGGCGTGTCTCGTACGCAGAACGAAGACTACGGGCCCTGATACCATTTCGAAGCGGTGTAACGAAGAAGTTCAGACAGATGGGAAAACGCGCGCAAGAGATA